ATTGGTTCCACTATGTTTACACACGCTACATTCAGTCCGCACATCCACTGGCTTCTTTTTTTTGTCCGCACCCTCTGGATCTCTCCTCACAGGCCGCCGTCCTCGTTTTGGTGCAGCTTCTGAGTCGGATGATAGTTTAGGTTTCTGCGTAACATAAACCAAAGGTATCAACACTAAAAAAAGGTCTTATCACGTTTTATGTCAAAAGCAGTTTTGGTAATTTTTGCCGTTATTCCTTTAATTGCTAAAGTACGTTTTGGTCGCATTGCAGTTTTATCAAGCTATACAGTATTAAGTGAGAATTTGGGCCATGATTCTTTCTATTTATTTTGTTTTCATGTGGAAAAAGAACATACTCACATTTTACAACAAGTTGAGAGAACATAGTGAATGCAACGTACAAATTAAACCTAAATCAGTAAACACTCACTTTGCTCATATCTTCAGCTTTTGCTGTGGGATTTTTCCGTTTGGCCGTCTTCAGTTTTCGCTTTTTTGCCTTAAAAAGAGAAAAAACCAGATGTAATTAGTGCTGTCACCCATTATCGATATCGGTCCGGTCACCAGAGCTATTATTTGCTTGATTTCCTATACGAATATGTCTTATGTATGATAAACCTTACACCGCAACTAGAAAGAAGAAAAAAGTTCTCCATTTTCTCTTTTTAGTGGTTTATCTCCATTATTTTGATTGAGGCACTTAAGCTAATAAGAAAAAGAGAGCATGATAAAACAACACTTACGAGTACTAGGCCTTACCTCTCCCTTGTCAGGAGTAAATTTGCTCGGCTCCTTGATGACCCGTCTGTGGCGCGCTTGAGAGATGGGTGAGGTGTCCTGTGGGTCTACTTCCATTTCTTCATCATCTTCACTTGGGTCACACTCTGAACATTGCCTGTTGACACAAGATACATATCATTCTCACGGTTTAGAGCGCAAATACTTATGCAGAGGGTTTGGCCAAAGCTCTTGTACCGTATTCGTTTCTCTCGACATCGCTCTCTTTAGGAGAGCGACAAGAAAGTCAAGAAAGACAAGAAAGTTAACTTGCGATCAGTTATGCAGCTAATGAAATTGTGACTCCGTAACTGACGCGGAACACACACAGATGAACTTTGCCGACTTTTTTCTAAATTAAAAAGATTGCAGCGCTACATGTTCTGTTGAACTGAACTACACCAGCCAAGTATAATGCGTTTTTTTAATCCTGTGCATGAAAGTGGTCCTTAAAAGAACTGCTGAAAGGAATTAATCATCTGTAGCAAGGGTAGTCATGAGTATGTGGTAGAAGTAAGAATAAAGTTGATACAAAGGTCCCTAGATATCAAACGCTTTTCACTTTAAACATGGTGAAGCTTGACCCTCCCCCCTAATCTTAGTATCCAAACTGTCGCTCTTATAACCTACCACAAACACTTGGCTGAACGCTTGGGCATGCGTGTTAGAGGTGGATCGACACATCCAAGATGATAATGATGATGACACGTGTCACACTGCACCAGCTGATGTTGATTCTCTGTTGTTTTACACGTCGCACAACTGAAATATAACCCACAACAAATACATACAGATGCTCATCAAATGAAGGGAGCCACTAAGAGAGCTAAATTTGTCTGAAGTGCTTAATGCGCATGCTTTTATCTGTATATTCGCAACCTGATCTACCAAGGAAATCATACTATGGAGTGCGTTGACCTACACGTTCAGTTTAAGTGACTTAATCCTCGTCTGCGATGCTGAGTGTTTCGGCTTTTTGAGTTCTAATAAGGGTGGCTTAGCTAACTCCTGCAATCAAAAACACAGTAAAAAAGTTGCTATGTGGTCTATAGTTATCAGAATAAAAGAAATGACTGGTTCAATATCAATATCAAAATACCGTAAACGCTGAGCTTCTTTCTTGCTTACTTCAACAAATAAATAGTAAAATTCACGATTCATGATAAGGAGCATAGGTCTGTCCTCTAACACTAACAAGTCCTGATTAATCTTATTCATGATTGAAGGAAAAAAATATATATATTTCCCTTTCCTTTCCAACTACAGAAGGAGGTAAACAAGAAAACAGAATGAATAGGAAAAATGAACTACGGTTTCCAATATTTGCACCTAACTTGAAAAGAACATGGTGAAGTTCTAATGATTTACAAGACGCACGAAGTACGTTGTCCTACATTTGCAGCCAACTTGCACAGAACGTGGTGAAGTTCTAATGATTCGTCTCTTCTCTCCTGGACTTCTTCAGCCAGAAATTGAACGCTTTCCGTTAACTAGATTAAAAAGAAACAAAGAGAACTAAAAAACCAAACGTAAAATAAAGTGAATAGCATTAACAAAGTGTTTGATAGAATTTTAAAGTTTGTCTTTTTCGAAAGTTCGACTAAATTTATTTACTGATGATGCTGTCTTTATTAAATGTTATTTAAAGAAAGAAAAGAAAACAATGTACCCTCGTCATATCTCATAAACCATTGTTTCTACATAGAATCAAAACCATACGAAGATCTTTAATGATAACTAAACTTTGAACTCATGAAATTGACAAACCATTTAAGGCAGCAACTCTCTAAAAAACATCAAGTGCTTTACCGCTTGATACTTTTCTCTTAAATTTTGTTCCTCTTGCTGCAATCGCTTGTTATTCAGTCTCAGTTCGTCTTGGCGCTCCTGCATCTCCTTCAATCTGGCACTTCGATCTGGGAAAGACGATACACGAAGAGTAACGATAATACTATGACCGTAAGAAAGGGAATAACCAAAGAACTACAAAAAAGGTACACTTGGCATAAGGACAGCACTTGAAAGTACTATAATTGCTAATATTTCGAAAGGTTTCATCAGATGAAAGACAGAACTTGCGGCAAATGCAGTCGAAATTGAATTATGCTCATAAAAGTGAAGGAACACAAAATAACGGGAGACTAAAAAGTTAA